ATTGATTAAGAGAAGAATTATAACTATTACATTGTTTTGTATACCTGAAACAAAAAAAGTTGTAGATACTAAAATTATTGGGTGAAATTTGAAGAGTGATAGGATATTTACATAGACCCAGTATAGATGTGTCCTTATAAGAAGTTATTATAAAAGAGATTATAGTAACTGTACAATGAAGAAAACTGGCTGATACCACCTTGACATCACCTTGACCAATTGACATCACGATTTGTGACAAATAGATACCACTTAGGATTTGTGGGATTTGTAATATTGGTGATTGTGTGTGTGCACCGGGATCATGGCCTCGTGTAACAGAAGAATGGAGGTGTGGGCCAGAGAGGTAAGTTTTGCAGCAAAGGAGTTTATTAAAGCAGGAAGAGTCACAGCTCTCAAAGTGAGAGGGGGTACCCGAAAGAGGGATGCCCACTAGCTAAAGCAAAAAGCTTTTGGTTTTATATTTTTTCTTGTATGCTTGGGGAGAAGAGCTGGCTGGCAACTTTTGGTACTATTATCAGGTTTGTTTAGCCTGGAGGGGGCTTTTGTAATAGCCCATTTGTCCTAGAACATAATTGGGCTGCAGTGCCCTTACTTTAGGACTAACCCAGCAGTCAGAATTGGTGTTCCTGCTCTAACTGGGGTGTGTTATCTTAAGGCAGGCCTATGCTTGAAGATATTCATTTTACCTGGGGATTCCTGACTGCCTGCTGTTGTGTTAACTTACCTGTCTTAATCCCCCTTTGAAGATGGAACCCTAACTTCTGCCTTTTTTTGTTATAGGCTTGAAAAAAACTTTTCTCCTCCCCCACCTGAGTTTGACACTCTGGTGGGTCCTGTGACTTAAACCTATCTGTCAGTTATTAAAATTATTTCCCCTGGCTCTGTTATCATTTCGGCCCTAATTCCCTCTACTGTGGCCATTTCCCTGAATGCCTATAATTTTTTTCTATCTCAATGCCTCCTAATATGATGTACTGAGGAGCAAGGCTAGTATGAAATAAGCTAGGCACCTAGGGTTAACTTTGTACTTTTGTTAAGCTAAGAATGAATATCTTCTTAAAGTTTGTATACTAGTTGCTTCCTTTATCTTACCCTAGACTCAACCTTGCTGAAAAGAGCACACCATGACTTTTGTGCTATTCTGGCCAAAATGCAAAACCTGAATCTAATCATGAGGACACATCTGACAAACACAAAATAGAGGACATTCTACAAAAGAACTGGTCTGTATTCCTGAAAAATGTCAATGTCACTAAAGAGAAAGATTGAGCAATGGCCTCAAATAAAAGGAGATTAAAAAGAAAAACATGACAACTGAATGCAACACATGATCCAGGATTTTCTGTAACAACACTATTATGACAATAGGTGAAATCTGAATAAGATCTCTAGATTAGCTAATAATATTGTGTATGATGATTTTGTAAAAGAATATACTTGTTTTTAGGAAATTCTGACTCACGTTTAGGAGCAAATGGGCATCATGCCTGCGGCTTACTTTCAAATAGTTCAGAAAACTGTATGGTAAATAGAAAAATAGGAAAAGACAAACTAAATGTTCAAAAATGTTGATGTTTGGAAAATCTGGGTAGAGGGCATATAGGAATTCTTTGTGTTATCTTTCAACTCTTTTGTAAGTATCTACCAGGAGTTCCCTAAGGAGAGAATATGGACAATGTGAAGAGGCAACATGTACAAAGAACATTTTCCAGATTGAGGACCCAGGTCTTCAATTTAAAGGATCACAGCGGGATGTCCCCAGTAGGATAAATTAAAGCAAGACCACGCCTAGGAAGAACAGAACACTGAATTTGAACAGAAACTTAAAGTCACCAGAGAGACAAGATAGAGTACCCACAAAATAATGAGAACTTGACTGGCAGCCGACTTCTCATTAGAAATAACAGCTAGAAGCCAACATAACAATATTTTCAAAGTGCAGAAAGAAAATCATTGTCAAAAACCAAAAACAAAAAAAAAGAATCCTATGGTATTTGGGAAGAAAAGAATGCCAACAGAAGCTAAGCAATATGTGGGGAGGGATTTCTGTTTTTAATTTGGTTTATTCTTAGCCCAAGGGCTGAAATCTTTATTACTGAAAACTTTAGTACTAGTAATGGCTTATTTGTCAATTTCCTTCTGAAGTGCCATTGTTTACTTTGGATTTTTAATTGCCTTATACAATAATTCTAAATTTTCTTCAAGAAACAAAGTGTTATTTGTATCCACAAATTAAAGAATGTTTTCAGCCATTCTCTAATATGGTTTAAGTCTTAACTCACAAAACTCATTCATTTGAGATTTTACAAAATATAAGGTCCCTAGTTGAATAACAAAGGCTTCTGACCACGAGTGAAACAGGATAACTGAAATGAGAAAGGGAAGTAGAATGTTCTTCTTACACAATGGCCTCTCTTTAGAACTTCCCAGCCTCTGGATGTTCATAAACATAAAAGGCAGGTTAACAGACCTGTGCCTTATGTGGTTCCTTCCCCTCCCACATTTACAGATAAGTGAGTGAATGAAAAGATTTTCTGTTACTTAATACACTTCAGGAGGGGATAATTAAAGAGGTGGAGAAATGAGCCTGCTCAAGTTTCTGACACTGGATGCCTCTTAAGGGCATGGAGATGGGGCATAAACCTGGGCAGCTGTGGCAGGTGTGACTCTGGTTTCCCTTAGATTAGATGGTAACCCTTTCTAAGACTCCCAGCAGCTCTGCTAGGAAGAGGCCACCACTTCTGCCAGGGCCCCCTCAGGGTTTAGACGGGCCATGTGCCTATTCAGCAACCTCCTTGCTAAGACTGGAAGAAACCTTCCACACGTGCTGGCAGCCATGCTGTGGGGTCTGTAAAGAGTAATCGGGTGGCAGGATAAGCTCGTGTTGTTTATCTCCAGACCAAGTTGAGGATTCAGGCACTCTAAAGAACCACTGCATAGGGGCAGGCTCCTGCGTTCATCATGGACTAGCCATACAACTTTGAGTGAGCAGTTATTCCCTCCTGTGACAACACTGACTTTCTCTGGGCTCTGGAGAGAATTAATTGAGAGAACATATAGGAATGTACATGTAAGTACAATTGCCGTGATTGCCACAGCAGTTACTCACATGACTTCCTTGTTTCTGACAGATACAAAATTCATATTTCCCTTTATGCTTTATTTGCCAGGAAGCATGTAACTAAGTTTTTGTTTATTTGTTTGAGTTATGCAGTGACTCTTCTAGTCTGGTTTTTTTGGCATACTTATTCTACCTTGATTTTCCCCTTGATTTTGGTCTGACCCAAATTTCTCAATTATTTTCAGATCTTGATGGGCATTAGGCCTGAAAATTTGAAGTTCTTGGATCTCATTCCTTCTGGTTTGACTGCTTCAGGGAGTGAAAGGGCTTAGCAGCAAACCCAGGCAAGGACCTCAGTGGAACATTGGTGAAGAATAAGCAGGGGCTGGATCTTAGGTTGGCTCAGAGGAGAGAAGCCAGTGCTTAAAACCATTACTACTCAGAGTTGTGTAGGGAGAACAGACATGATCCCAGCTGATGTCAGTATTCAGGTGGTTCAGAGGAGTGAGTTGGGGTGGATGGCACTCAGAGTGATGCATGGCAACATTCCAGACTACCACGTGGGGGGCCAGAAGAGGGAGTCCAGGCCTTGAGAAAGAAGGAATTTCTGAGGACTGTATAATGGTGGAAATGACTATGGTTTTATGAGACCTGAAACTTATACAATTTGGGGGCCCACTTTAAGCAAAATAATAAAAAAAATTTAAAAATACAAAATTTATTCACTTTTGCAAATGCTATAAAGCACAGCACTCTGAACAGTTTGCCAGGGCTCTTCTCAGGGCCTTGGCAGGGGCCCATGCAAGTGAGGGACAGGAAGTGTACACTTCATTAACTTCATGGTATGTCCACCTCTGTCCCACAGTGGTATTCAGGCTCCAGCTCCAGACACAGTCAGGAGTGGAGGTACAGATCAGGAAACTGAGGTAGGAACCCAGTCCAAATTAGGTTAGGCTCATAAACAAGGGCTGAGAGAAAGGAGGTAGCTTGATGTGCATGTGGACATCCAGGGCTCAGTTGTGGTATTCCAGATACCAGACTTCCTGCAGCCAGTGAGACTCCACATCTCCCTTACACACTGCAAGGTCTGCCTTGGTGGTTATATGACAGCATGCCCAAATTAATTGCAGGAATTAGGAAGGGCTCTCTGCCCTCTGTGTCTTATGGCCAAGTCAGGCAGAAGATGAGTCTGATAGAGACTTGCACATATTAATTCGTTCATGGAGTAGTTGCTTTGTGTGTCTTGGAGGAAGAAACATTAAGGCCCCATCTCTGTCCTCGTGGAGCTCACTGTCTAAAAGATGGCTGACATCTGAACATGCTACACCAGTGTCCCAAAGGAAACCACCTGTGGACCAAGAGCCTCTGAGTATTGAGGACTGTCCTGGTTTTAGCACTGAAAGTTCTGTTTCAAAAAACTCCTCAGGGCAAACCGGGACAGTTGGTTACTCAAGGCAGGAAAGAGTGACTAGTTTTCTTGGAAGTAGGAGGGCATCCGAGAGCTGAGAAGGTCTTACTCATTGTGTTATGTAATTTAGCAAGTACTTATTGATGTATATTATATGTTCAAATTTTACCAAGATTTCTGGGGAGAGAAGTCTTGGTTTACTAATAAATACTTTCTGCTGAATTTTCCATTTTTCAGGTAACGTTTTCATAACAGATTCATAAAATATAACTAGGGTTAAAAGAAACGCACGTATTGCGTCAGGGAGCTTACGAGGAAGATGATTAAAACTAAGGGTCAGGTCAACGCTAAAAGGGATCGGCCTTTGGAGAACCAGGCTGCGTCGCTGAGCTACGACCCCGTAGCTCGACCCCCAAAGGCCTCACGCGGTAGGCCCGCCTGAGCGCGCGGCTCAAGAGGTTCACTGCGCAGCCGTGCCGTCACGGCGTCGGGGCGGGGCCCGCGGCAGGGGCGGGGCCGCCTCCCGGATCTGGCGGAGGGGCGGGCCTGGGGCGGCGACCCGGTGGGGCGCGCTCGGCCGCTGAAGTGCTGGTCTTTGTAACGCGCCCGCTGGATAGGCGGCTGCTCGGAGAGGCTTGCGGGTTCGGAATGCCTGGGCTGCCCAGGGTCCCGGAACAGGGGCGCGCGGAGCAGTGCGCGCCGGATACCCCTCGCGCAGGCTTTGTGCTGGGACTGGACGTGGGCAGCTCAGTGATCCGCTGCCACGTCTATGACCGCGCGGGGCGGATCCGTGGCTCCAGCGCCCAGAAGGTGACAGGGAGCGGGCGTCGGGGCTGTGGGTCAGGGTCGCACAGATTCCCGAGATCCGGTCGCAGAAGGGGAGCGGGCGGGTCCGTCTCATCCGGCCTGGACGCGGCCACCTGCAGCGTCCCGGGGCCTGAGTGGCGTGCTGGGACTGGCCAGATCTCGTTCCCGCCCTGGGCAGGGCTGGAATCCGCGCTCCCTTCCTGCCCTGGCTGAGGGCAGGAGGGGTCCGGTTTGTGAGCCAAGGCCATTCACTGTCATTCCTGTCACCTGGGATTTGCCCCTCAGGCCGTAGGTGACTTGCAGAGCAGAGCGGGCTGCAGTTACTCAGCCAACGGGTGCTTTGTGACTTGCTTGGTTTTTCCTGCACTTCCGTGATAGACATCCAACCTGTCTTCATTTACATTTTAAAATTTCACATCTTGATAGAATCGAACTTTATTGTCCATTCTTAAGTTGTTATCATTAGAAACTACTTCTCCAACTGCGGATTCCTCACATGAGTAACTGATATCCATAGATATGGGAAACATTGGACAACTTTTGAAGTCTGTAGTGTCACTACTTTACTCCTTCCCATTTTTGAGAATTCGTAAAAATATCTTTTTTTGATTTGAGGAACTTAGCAAGTTATAGATTGTTGTTATTAGTAAATTCATGCTATTAGTAAAGCAGCTAACCAGCTGGTATTCTCCTGTTCCCATTTTAATGAAGTGCAGATTTCTACACTATTTCCTGAGTACCAAAAATGTTGATTGGATGTGGTGTTACCATTTACTCTTCTTTCCAATACCAGCATCTTTTTATGTCAGCAAGGTCAGGACATTCATTAGTTACCTAGACCATTCCCACAGCACTGGACTCCCAGTTTGCTCCATTCCCACCCTTCTTCCAACCCTCTTAGAAGTGTTTTTCAACCACAGCGGTTTTCCAGGGCCAGGTCTACCCAAATGACAGCTTTGAGCATTTGTTTCTGAGGAAATATTAGATTTCCATTCTGGTTTTGGGACCAGGACAGTGAGCTGGGACTACAGCAGCTCCTTGGTCCCTTCTCTGGTTACCTGTGCAAGAACACTGCCCACCCACCCCGCACACCCCGTGTCTACACCAACTGGAAGGGACAAATGAAAGGCCCACACTGTCCCTCAGCATCTATCTGTGTCCTTCTTATCTTTTTATGAGTCTTTATCACAACACAATGATACTTTTCACACAGTCTCTCTTATAATTCTAAACACAAAGTACTTCTGTTTTAAGCAGTGATGTTTTTATAAAAGGAATGGAAGTATTTGGAACCAAAGGGAGACAAATTGTTAGAAGATACAAGATTTCACAGTTGTTATATTATCTGAGGCGAATCATTAGTTTTTTTAGAAATGAAGTAAAAATCTCAAAGATGAATCAAGATTGCTGTAGCAGGAAAATAGAATGGTTCGCTCAGACTCTAAACTGTGGGTAAGGTATCTGGAAAGATAAGTGAGTAATATGCAAAAAGCATTTTATTAAAAATAAAAAAAGTACAAATAAATAAAAATTTTAAATAAAAAGACAAAAAGTCCCTGCCCTCAAAGGAGGAAGCACTCTCTTAGGTTAAGGAGTTTATACCAATGCCTCTCAAACTGTAGAAGGAATTTTACACAGTGCCTTTTTTTATTTTTCATTTCTTTATTGGGGAATTGGGAAAGGGGAACAGTGTTGGGAAATTGGGGAAAGGGAACAGCCAAGTTGTCCTTCAATCTTAGTTGTGGAGGATGCAGCTAGCTCAGCTCCAAGTCCAGTTGCCATTCAGCCAACATTCGGCAGCTCAGGGCAACTTAGCTCAAGGTTCTGTGTTTAATCTTAGTTGCAGGTGGGCATAGCCCACTATCCCATGTGGGAATCAAACTGGCAACCTTATTGTTAGGAGCACATGCTCTCACCAGCTGAGCCATCCTGCCACCTGTTGGCAGCTCAGCGGCAGCTCAGCTCGGGTGCAGCTCACTGGCCCATGTGGGAATCTAACCAGCCACGCTGTTGCTCAGAGCGCGCGTTCTTAACCAACTGAGACACTTGGCTGGCCCACAGTAGTGCTTCTTAAAGTGTGATTCCTGGGCTGCTGCAGTTGAGATAAGGAATATATGAAATAGAAACTGGCATAGCAATTTGGCAGAGTAATTTTATGTTTATTGACCTTAATAATAAAACATTTGGGATTTTATTTTGTATGTAATTTTTTCCTAGAAAGTTGTTTTAATTGTGTCTTAATTTTTTTTAACTGCAGTTGACAATCAATATTCAATTCAGGTGTATAGCATAGTGGTTAGACATTTATATAACTTATGAAGTGATCCCACTCCTAAATCTAGTACCAACTGGCACTATACATAGTCATTACAATATTATGATTATATTCTCTATGCTGTATTTTACATCCCCGTGACTATTTTGTAACTGCCAATTTGTATTTCTTAATCCTTTCACCTTTATCACCCAACCATCCAACCTCCCTCCCATCTGGCAACCATCAGTTTGTTCTCTGTATCTATGAGTTTGTTCGTTTATTTTGTTTTTCAGAATCCACATATAAATGAAATCATATTTTCACCATTGAGTACGATATTAGCTGTGGCTTAGTCATGTATGACCTTTATTATGTTGAGGTATGTTCCTTCTATTCCCACTTTGCTGAGAGCTTTTATCAAAAATGGATGCTGGATTTTGACAAATGCTTTCTCCACATCTATTGTTATGATCACATGATTTTTATCCTTCATTTCATTTATGTGATGTGTCACATGAACTGATTTGTGGATAGTGAACCAAACTTGCATCCAAGGAATAAATCCCACTTGTTCATGGTGTATGATCTTTTTTGTTTTTTTTTAAGATTTTATTGGGGAATTGGGGGAGGGGAACAGTGCTGGGGAATTGAGGGAAGGAGAACAGACAAGTTGCTATCCTTTTGTTCTTCAGTCTAGTTGTGGAGGATGTCGCTTCATTGGTCCATGGTGGTATTATCATTGCGCTCTTCCCAGCTGAGGCAGATCGGTCGCTGGCCATTGGACAGTGGCTCACGGAGGCTTACAGCAGCTCACGCTGACTGCCAGCTGCTCATGCCAGCTACTGGCCACTCACAGTAGCTTACGGCAGCCCACTGCAGCCTCGCTGTAGTCTACGCCGTCACCTGTGACTCAGAGCAGCCCAGCCAGGTCAAGCTGTTGTTCACCATCTTAGCTATAGAGGGCAGTGTCACTGACCCATGTGAGATCTGAACTGGTGGCCTTGCTGCTCAGAGTTTGTGCTCCCAAGCCAACTCTTAACCAATGAGCCACTTGGGCGGCCTAGGTGTATGATCTTTTAAATGTCTTGCTGAATTTCATTTGTTAATATTTTGTTGAGGATTTTTGCATCTGTTGGATCATTGGGAAAGTCATGACGTATTTTTCTATGTTTTTCAATGCAAAAATGACTTTCCTGATGACCCAATACGTTCATCAGGAATATTGGTGAATAATTTTCTTTTTTTTGTTGTTTTTCTTTTTGTAATGTCTTGGTCTGGTTTTTGAATCAGAGTATTGTTGGCCCTGTAAAATGAACTTGGGAGCCTTCCCGCCTCTTGAACTTTTTGGAATAGTTTGCAAAGAATAAGTATTAATTCTTCTTTGAATGTTTGGTACAATTCACCTGTGAAGCCATCCGGTCCAGGACTTTTGTTGTTGGGAGCTTTTTGATTACTGATTTGATCTCATTAAGTTATAGGTCTGTTCAGATTCTGTTTCTTCTTGATTCAGTCTTGAAAGATTGTATTTTTCCAAGAATTTATCCATTTCTTCCAAGTTGTCCAATTCATTGGCATATAATTGTTTGTAGTATTTTCTTAAAACCCTTTGTATTTAGGCAGTGTTGGTTTTCACTTCTTTTTCATTTCTGAGTTTATGTATTATGGCTCTCTCTCTCTCTCTCTCTCTCTCTCTCTCTCTCTCTCTCTCTCTCTCTCTCATTGTTGAGTCTGGTTAAAGATTTATCAATTTTGTTTACGTTTGCAAAGAACTAGCTCTTGGTCATTAATCTTTTGTATTTTTTTTTACTCTATTTCATTTATTTCTGCTTTGATCTTTATTATTTCCTTCCTTTTACTCACTTTTGTCTTTGCTTTCTGTTCTTTTTCTAGTTCCTTTAGGTGTAAGTTTAGATTGTTTATTTGAGATGTTTCTTATTTCTTGACGTAGGTGTATTTTGCTATGAATTTTCCTCTTAAAACTGCATTGGTTGTGTTCCATAGATTTTGCATTGTTATGTTTTCATTTTCATTTGTCTGAATGTATCTTCTGATTTCTTCCTTGAGCTTATTGTTAATCCACACACTGTTTAGTAGCATGTTATTTAGCCTCCATGTGTTTGTGTGTTTTTCAGTTTTCTTCTTGTGGTTGATTTCTAGTTTCATACTATTTGGCCATCCCTTCACTGGAGCTTAGGGCAATTGTTTGAGAGTGAGTAGATCTGTGCTTGGGCCCTTTAAGAGAAAGCCAGATTCTACAGCAGTCCTTTGTCTCATCTGGATGGAATACCTGCTGATTTTTGCAGCCAGATGTCATGGGGACTCCTTCTCAGCAGGTGTTTTAGGCTGGGGAGCCTGTTGTGGGGCTGAGGCCCGTCGCTCCTCAGGGGGTATTTCTGGATATTTAATAGCCACACATGTGTGGGACCAGCTTCTTTTGAATCTCTGTCCCTTCTACCAGTCTTGACATAGCTTCTTCTTTATATTCTTAGTTAATGGGAATTCTGTTCAGCTAGTCTTCAGCTAGTGATTCTCAAGGGTGGTGGTTCTATAATTTAATTGTAACTTTTTTTGTGGTCAAAGGAGGTGAGCACAGTATTTACCTACTCTGTCATCTTGACCAGATGCCCATTTAAATTGTGTCTTAAGAATTGTTGGTCCATAATGAATTAAAAATTAGGAAAAAAAGGCAGAGACTACCTAGTCCTGGGCCTTGCAGTTTTGTTTTTCTGTGCCCACCATTGCAACC